ATAAAAATACTATACATATTTATATATTTTGCTATTGTATTATGGAGTGACACTTTCATAAACTTTTCTATACTCCTCTGATTATATAATGGTAAATATTACAATATCATAGCACAACAACAGCGATCAGCAATAATGATAAGCCTAATACTCACAATAAAAATAATAAGGTCATATAGATCATAACACAGTCTCGGAGGTAAGAAGTGGATTATCCTTCACCTGAAATGTTTGTCTTTTCATCCTGAAATGTGAGGCAAATGTTGGATCACAATAATTAGGAACCACAGTTCCCACAAATCCCTTCATTTGATTGGGATATTCTCCTTTATTCTGGAGGGCAAGGGCAGTGACTGTAACATCGAGCGTATTTTGCAGTATTAAACACGTATTTATACCGATTTCATCAGGCTCCGAAAATTCTTCAAAAAGAACACAAAGAATGGCCTTCTCAGCTGCCATGGTTGCAACTCTTGCGTCATTAGAACAGGGTGTTCAAAGCACCACTGTTTCCTTTTAAAAAATGTTTTGCACCGTTTTTGTCGGGGCTGAACGCAGCCCAGGTATAATCTTATTAAGCTATACTGTAGAAGAGAGTCTGATATGAAACGTGCTATTAAGAACACCCCCAAAATAACCTGAAATCAACATCTAAACACCCCTCAAGGGTTAGAGTGGTGCAGAAGGTGCATTTGGAGAGCAATCAGCTGTTATGAATACTACTGTAATATTGCCCATTCTTGACATGGGTTGATTTGTGTGAAGCCTCCTACTGGGAAACTGTATTAAATGCAGCCCATTAAAAACAAACTGCAAAGCAAAGAAGCCTGTTATATAAATGCAAATGATGCATATTACAAATAGTAAATAGGGAAAGTGATTGCAATCACAGTCAAAACCTATAGAAAACATCTTTTCACATATCTTTTCTGGCAGAAATACTTTCAGTTTTAAATTATTCTTTTCACACATAGCTAAAGTGTGGCTAAAGAAAATGTAAGATGGAGTTAATGACCGTGGTAGTCATTTCTTGCTGACTGGGAGAAAACAGCCTGAGCTGTCATGTCCATTAAAGCTCAGTGGAAAACACCTAGCACTGCTGCCTGTTCTCAACTCCAGAGGTGCTGCTTCAAACCTGCCTTAACTCATTTCAGCAGGACATACAGGAATGATAGAAAAACACTCGCTGCACCAAATGGACAAACCGCAAAGAGGACACCTCCCGCTATTTGGGAAATGGCTGAAGTGCATAAAAGCTTCCAAACAGCTACATATCAACAGGGGAATAGCCCTTCCAAAGAAAATAATCATTGTTATTCTGTCAAGACAACATCTTAGCTTTTAGTCGACCACATCTCTGAGGGTACATGTTGTTCGTCAATGTATCTATAAATGGTTTAAGACATTGTCGTCTATAATAAATATGTGCACACATTTCCCATGTTGTTTGTGTATCCAACTTGTACTCCTTTGAGACTCTTGTAGATAATAATTAAACACTATTTTGAGTCACACATTTCAAAGTGATGAATCTGAAAACAAATTACAGCAGATGGGTCTGTGACATTCTCTGTGCCAGATGCAAAACTGACAGCAGTGTCCATGTATGTATATTAGACATTTGCAGATTAATCTATTTATCTAACCAGGGGTAAATTAATCCGAGTGCTCAGTGAGTTTGATGAATGAACAGCCTTTATTCTTTACTAATGTACATTTATAAATACAATAATGCCTAATTCTAATTAACATGTCTAGCACTGTTCACTGTAAACTAA